CCTACTCAGCACACAATTCTTTTGTATTTACATATTACACCCCTAAACTTTAATATTTACATGAATAACGCCTTAAATCATTTCAGTTATTTAAACATATGCATGAATAAGTGTATTTTACATTTTAAAAAATAACAATAATATTAAAGATTTGAATGATATGTGTGTAAATAAGAAAACTTTAGATGTTCTAAAAAAAACCTAGATTGTCACATGGGCTATTTTTTTTGTAATTCTAAGGTTTTTAAAGTCTTACAAATCTATCTATTAGCCCGAGTTCTATAAAATTTGAAGCATTGTTTTGAAGGGACATTGGGGATAATTTGAGTATAATTCTTAGGATTTCATGAAAATATACAAATTAATATACTATATGACAAGCTTGCAACATAATAAGTTACTTTGGGGATGATCCTTGCAAAAGAAATAACCATCTCGTCTAATAATTTTGTTCAAACCCCACCTAATTCCTTAAATTTAAATATCTTACACTTAAGCTCCACCTTTTACATTTATAACCCTCAAAATATTCATATCATAAAGAAACTTTTCAAATTAAGCTTTTCATGCATGAGTATGTATCACATATGTGAGAAAAAGGAAGATTTACATACATACCGCTTAATTCCTATGTATTTATATTTATAACAACTAGGCTTTAAATTTTACACACATCACTTTACCTATGTATGAAAATATAAATGATTTAGAATATGCAGCTGAGAAATATAAAAAAGCTCAAAAATTAATTCATAATATTTAAACTCAAATTTAATTATAATAAATTTGATAATCATTTGGGATTTATTTATAATTTTTAGAGGTAATATTTTAAACTAAATTTTATCATTATTTGAGACTTATTTTAAAATATATTTAAGACTATAAGTAAACCATCAAAATTGGTATTAAACCTTTATTATATTGCAAAATCGAAGGAAAGTTTATAAGGAATATTTAAATATACCTCAATTCTTATGTATTTATATAAAATTTATTTATGCATAAAAATGTGCATTTCAATTTTTAAAAGTTTAATAATGATATTTTTGATGTGATATGAATGATTTGATGGTGCAAATGTTAAAAAGTAAATTTCAAAAGTTTGATATGTAAATATATAGGAATTGGGTGGCATGTATGTAAATGCCACCATTTTATAATTGTCATTTGACCATCGGTGGATCTTAGCCGCTGGTTTCCATCAACGGTGAAATTTCGCAAGCCCTATAAATACACAAATTTGGAGTGCTTCTCTGTAAAGATGTCCATAAGCTTTCCGAGCTTCTGCTGCGTCCGGAGGTCGAGTCCGGCGAAGATGGCGTTAAGGTTCTCCTACATCACCCCCTCGCAACTGATCTCCTTGCGCCGGAGTGCGAAAGTGGCGATCGTCGACGTCCGGTAGAGTTCTCTCTGCTCCGATGCGATTTCGTTTACATTAAAGCTGTTGAGTTCCTTTTGTTTTTCTTACTTTTTTGATTGTGTTTTCGTCGGAAGAGATGAGGAGAGGAGCTACGACGCCCACATCGCTGGTTCGGAGATGCTACCGTATCTTTTGGGAGCTGTCCAGGGGAATGACGCCGTCGTTTTCCACTGCGCACTGAGCCAGGTTTGTCCGACTATTTAGGTTTTGATGTAAATCGTTTATCTGAATCATTAGGTTATCCTAGTTACTAGTGGCCAGCTTTATGGATCTTCTTTAGTCATTTTTTTTTTTAATTCGCAAACGAGTAGGATTTAACTCGAGCAGGTTTAGCAAATTTTGAGATAGCGGAATCTATTATATTATTGACTCACGAGAGTATTATCTTTCTGGAATCTTGTTGTATTCAATTATATTATTGATTATTTGTTTCTAGATTTAAGATTTTTGAGATGAAGGAATCTATTTTTCCTTGAATCTCTTAGGTATATCACAAAAAATTCGCATTATCGGCATAAATCTTGATGCATTATGAATGATAACCTGCAGAGTCAAATTGAAGATCGTCTAAGCTTCAATTTCAACAAATTTATGGTTAAATTAGACAACTGAACACTACAAATCTAATGAAATCTAAAGCGATTCAAACTGAGTTCCAATAAGCCCAAATAAAGCACCTGAAGTGTAATTGGAAGTTCTTAGAGCACTGATGGGAATGTCTAACGATCTCTGAATCTGACATTCTTATAGTCCGGTTGAGAAGTTCTGCGAGAGAAATTCAATGAATTAAATTTGATTTAATTTTAAAGGCACTTAAATGTTAAAAGAATGGTTTACGATCGATGCAATTAAGATAGATCATAAGATGGAGTGATTTGAGGTTTTGGCCAAATTTATAAACTAGAAATATGCACTCAATGTTCACATGTGAGGGAGAGCACAAGCTAAGAATTAAGTCTTATACTCATGATGAGAGCTTGAAGCTAAAGACCACCAGCAATCATTATTGAGCATCACTAACTGTTGTTGTTGCTTAACTATCCCCAAGTTATTGTTATCATCAGCCAAAAATCATGATTTTCATTGAACCATCTTCACTAGACTGCCACTACCTCTTAACCATCATCACAGCCCGCCGCTAGTCCATCATTGTCTAACCACCATCGTACCTTCTACACTTTAAAAAAAAAAAAAAAAAATCAAAAGTTTGTCTCAAAA